ACTGTCGGTTCACACCCCATCACAAGCAAGCAAAACACCCACGAAACACAGAAATATATAGATAGATATATAATATATTGTCACAAGAATATCAGAGCGCAAATGCGAAAAACAAGAAAGAAAAAAAGAAAGAAAAACAAGAAAAAATGACCATATATAAATACATAGATCGTCAGCCTCAAATGACGAGTGATTACCAATATAGAACTGTCGGGTAGGATGTGGCTGGTGTAAATACTCTTCCTTTTCTTTTTTCTTTTTTTTCTTTTTTTTTTTCTTTTTTTTTGGGTTTCTTAATTCTTCCTTTTCTTACATAATAATAATTTATCCTCTGTTAAAATGCCACCTTTCCCCACCACATAACCCCCTCCCCCCTATGATAGAAGGGGCAAGATGCCACCCCCCAATACCAATAGATTATCTCGAAACCAAAATGACACTTTTTTCTTTTTTTTCCCAGTGTCCCGACGGACTACGGATCAGACGTTGAACTGATCGGGATCCCGATCCCGAGCCGAAAAGATACTACCCTCGATGGGATGGAGGGAGCGGGGGAGCGCGGGGTCCCGATCCTGAGCCGAAAGGAGGGTGAAAACGTCCTGTGATATTGAAACGACACAGAGAAGATGAGCATGGAAAGAAATAAAAAAGACCATAAATCCATTCATGAAAAAGAACGATCGTCCTTAGGGACATCCGTTAAAATTGGAACGATACTGAGAAGGAAGATTAGCATGGCCCCTGCGCTTTCAAGGATGACACGCATATATCGAGAAATGGTCCAAAAAAAAAGAAAAAAAAGAAAAGAACGATCAGGAGAACGAATACACGTGATGGTGAGTTGAAAAGAACAGAGACCATGATCTATAATAAGTATTAATAACCGATTTCCGATTTTATTTCTTTTTCTTTTTTTTACAAAGAAAATCTTCTTCCTGTCGACCCGTCCAACTTTGTTAAAGTAAAAAAAAAAAAAAAAAGTGTAATGACTCGTTAACGAGTCATTAATGACAACTTATCTATGGGCATTACGCACAACAAGGCTTTTGTCACTTCGCTCTGGACTTTATTACGGTCAGATGCATCCAGATCTAGTGCGAGTAACATAACAATAAAAGACCCATGTTGGAAATTAACAGTTCAAAAAAAAAAGAAAAAAAAAAAGACCTATGTTACCGGAGTGGAGTGCCCAAAATTAAATTAAATAAAAATACTAATAAATCAATAATACAATAATAAACTAATAATAATAAATACCCTGAGGCAAAAGTTGTTCCGTTTATTATTCTCCCCACCATCATTTTTTTTCAGACTTTTTAGAATTCCTTTTTTTCTTTTTTTCTTTTTTACAGGGACCTTCCCTGGCCCTTGCCCGACCGGCCCGACCGGGCGGCCCGGGCAAACAAGGTGAACCGGACAAAATTAATTAATGAAAAAATAAATAAATAATGGAAACTACTTCTCCAATATATTAATTAATGGATAAAATGATTAAATTCAAGGAAGGATAAAATACTCCACTATAAATTAAATAAAGTTGATAAAATCCTCAACATCAATTGATGAATATTAATAAAATCCGTAATTTCTTTTTATTATGATTTTTATTTCTTTTTTTTAACAAAAAGAAACAACATTTATAAAAGTCGGGAATCGGGCCCGGCGTCCCTCACA